TAACCTTGAAGAGGTTCAAGATTAAAGAAGCTTACAGTCTACCAACCTGATGTTGACTCAGTGGGGGATGATTTACTAAAGTCAAATATATTGTTCACTTCCAAGGGAAATTGCAATTTGCAAGGGATTTTGCCACAGAGCTTAGTAAATGAGGTGAAGCTCTGCTATTTCCATCACGCAGTTGTGTGCAAGTAAAAGTACTGTTTTTTTCTGTTCTTTGCATGTGCTTGGGTATTCTTTGCAAATGAGACTTCTCCACATTCACTAAGTTCTGGAGCAAATTCCCACGTGTAGGACAACCTTTAGTAAATCAACCCGTGTCTCAAGCAATGGGAGCAATGGGACATAGTTATGTCCAAACAAGGTATTCCATGGCTAATAATCACCTGAGCTTTGTATTGTGCCACATCCTGAGCTCTGGTATCTCTTGTTTAGCTCAAATCTTAACTGGTGCCACTTCCTGATCTCTGGCATCACTAACGTAGGTCATATCTTAACTGGTAGGCAGCTCAAACACTTTCTGGATCTGAAAGAGAAATGTATTTACCAAATTATATTATTATCTGATACCATTAGCTTAGACATGTGGTCATACGGCCAATTTGTTTTGTAAATAATTGTTTGGTTGCCACTATGGTTAAAGCTTCTAGCCTACAAATGATTTCAGAATTCTACTTCACCTTCAAGGACCCAATGGCATGAGCCCAGGCATAAAATAGAAAGATTTAGTGATAGGCTGATTTTAGATGTAACTAGCCACAGACTAGTTTACCTGAAACTTACTGATAAGTTCACCTATTTATACTTCATAGTACCTACAGTATTTGATGCCAATTTAGTTAGCACAATATAATCTGTCTTGAAATCCCATTATTCCCTAAGTGTCCTCCTGAGTCTTTGGACTAAAACATTTTTCTGTGCATCTTTTTGCATGAGGCATTGGTTACTGTTGAGAAGCTGATAGGAAAGGTGTGGATCCAAGCTATAGCACCTATCTTACAATAATCAAAATTGAGATTAATAAAACTATCCTATATGAGAAACTGCTCTATTACCACCAAGTCTGCGGTAGACAGAATCTTCTACTTGCTGTCCCTTAGATGCAGCTCCTACGATTTTGAACAGTGTCTTTTATGTGTTTAGGTTTTATATACTCAGTCTGTGGTGCCATATGCTCATCTGATATGTGAGCTGATATGTCTTAGGTCTCTTTCACACTGGTACTGCCAACACTCCAATCATGTGTGTTCAGAGGACATTTCTAAATGCATATAAATGTATGTAACATTTGTTCAAAGGTGCTGATCACACTGTACATTTACCGGCATTTAGCTGCGGTCTGTTTATCTGTATCTAGAGAAAATAGAATTTTGTTCATCCAGAATCCAATTAGAAACTCTAAACAAGGCTAAACACATGTAAACAAACAAATGTAAGCACACATAAAAACACATAAACACATAAAAGAACACAAAAAATTGCAGCAAAACAAACTATATCTGTCAAATATTAAGGGAAGCTGTGTTCATAAAAAATTACACAATTGAATGCTTACCTTCATGGATGGACCTCCTAAAGCGGAGTTACAGCTGTTTTAGTGTTTATTAAAAGTCAGCAGCTACAAAAACTGTAGCTGCTGACTGTTAATAAATACACACTTACCTGTCCCAGGGTCCAGCTATGCTTTCACACATGTGGTCCCTTCTGCCCTTCTCTCCTCCACAGCGCCGGCATCTCCACTGTGGGCACCAGGCTGTGACAGCTTGCAGCTTCACAGTCTGGTGCCCACTGCACATGTGCGAGTCATGCTGCACCTCCTGATTGGTCCGGAAGTCTCCTGGGACCTCTGAGACTGAGGGAGGGAAGAGGGGGGCTGAACTTCCGGCTCATTTCGCAGCGGCGAACTGAGCCGGAAGTAGGAGCGGGTACCTGTCAAAAACAGGTATCCGCTCCCCCCAAATGGTGCCAAATATGGCAGTGGAGAGGGGGAGGAGGCAAATTAGTGGAGCTTCCAATTTTGAGTGGAACTCCACTGTAGCCTCCCTGGTGGTATTCCCGAGTGTAGCTCGGGGTAAAGTTTCAGTACTACAAGCGGTAACCCCGAGCTACACTCGGGCTTACCATGCGGCGCTGCTCCGGGATCCCTCGGTCACTTACCTTGTCCTGCGCTCCCGCGATGTCCCTCCTGCAGTGTCCCCTGTAATGTCCTCCGGCCGATGCCGTCGTCTGTCATCTGAGTTCAGTCGCCTGCGAGCGTCGGGACGTACGGGGGATGGAACAGCGGGAAATTTGAAAATGACAAAAAGTGACATTCACAAAAATCACTAAAATCACATAGTATAACATTACTGTATCAAACCATTTCACATACATTTTGTCCCGAGTGCTTTGTCCTGTGCCCTGCCTGCATTTTTACTGTTCTTTCTGCCTGGAAACTGAGAAATGTCCATGGCGTCCAAAAAGCCTCCCTTTAGGTCAAAAGCAGATTTAGACCAGCTAGAGAACAGCGATAGTAAATTAGAACCACTTGCAGAATTGAGTGATAATGATTCGTGGGGAAATTCGTCATCAGACACCGAAAACGATTCTGCGACTTTGCTCAGTGATGTGCAAACGTGGCGCTATAGTTCAAATTTCAGTGTTTTTGGTTTGATTATATTATTGAATTAAATGTATTATTACATTATTATTTTTTATGATTATTTATTAAATTATAATTTATGATTTCGTGTTTCAAGTTTTATCCTACCCGGGATGTTTAATAGACTCTTGTTCGGACAGATTTCAGTGAGTTATTCCTAAGAATTACAGGCCTACAATATAAAAAGCCAAATTTCCATGCAAAATAATGGTACAGCTTTCAGCACCAAAAATCTGAAATAATCATACCGCCAAGGAGGTTAAATTACAGGAAGCCTATTGAGGATAACTTCATTCCCCAGCTTGCAAACCAATAAAATGTAAGATTTTCTACAACCTCTCTCCTCTGACAGCACCACCTCTACTTCACTTTTTTTCCAATGAGGATTGATGTTCCTCACAAGTAAAACAAATAAGAACATCTAGTGCTCTCCATTTAAAATAGAATTTATTAGGCTGCTCACAGTTGCAGTTACATTAGGAAAGTAAATGACAAGCTCCTAAATATATTGGTCAGTGGCATTCACAGCGGTGCATCCAACTTGCATTGTTCCCGTCCTCTTGATGGATTTTCAAATAGCTCCGCCCACTTGTGCGATGACATCCGGTAATTACATGTAAATGTGCATAAACACAGCTAAACCTACTTTAAAGCAGGAATATCCAAGCCCCCATTTATACTAGTGTGATCTTTTGTACGTCTGCCGTCACGCTGCAATGTACAACAGTGGAAATCACTTTAATCGCCATGGTGCCATTCGTATCAATGCAACATGGCGCTGTGAGGTTTTAGAGAAGGTGCATATGCTTCTTTTAGTTCTACACATTGCGTTTTTGGCCTCATAGACTTCAATGGGAGTGCATAAAAAACAAAAACATGCTTTTGGAACTCTTTTAGTCCTTTTTTTCCCTTAAAATCCATTCTCTTCCTCCTATTAACAATAATGTAACAAATGATATTGCTAGTCATTGGGAAGAAAAAACAAAAAAGGCACAAGTATAAAAAAAAAAAACATAAAAAATGCACATAAATATCCTACAAGAACGCACTGGAAGATGCATGATTATGCAGCAGTACTAGTGTGTAATGTGAACCTAGGCTAAATGCAGGGAAAAGTGATCTAGGAGGCATAAAGGTTGTTTATACTTCCCAGATAACTTCTCATGTATTTAGAAATGTCTGTCATTTCATTTGTCTGCAGCAAACTAACTTTCCAATTGTTTATGTAATACATTCCTTCTGTGTGTGCTATATTGTAGAGATCTTGTTTTATCTATTCTTTTGACTGAATATGTACAACATAGGTGCATGTCTTTGTCAGTATTCGTGTTGTTATTTTAAGCCCATTTCAGTACTATTAAAAATGATTTGGGATTACAAAAATATACAAGTGAAAGCATTTCTTATATCTGCTTGGTAAGTGCAATAAATACCTGTTGCTCTGACCAGAAATTCAGAGGGGCCATATGCCTAGTGTTCACCTCTAGACAGGTGCGTTTCATTCTGATTAGTTTTTCAGATGAAAATGTCATTTTCAGAGATTTTGATGTATATGAATCTCCGAATGGACATAGTAATGAATATCAACGAATCAGCAAAAAAGTTATTCCAAAATTAACAAATGCATTTGTTTCATTAGTTACGTTCTGATAATGTCAAATGAGGCGCTGGTAGTTCGAGTCCATTGGGGAAATGCATTCAATTTTCAAATTCGTTTGATAATTCAGATTTGGATATTGACTGGATCAAATGGATGTTCCATTCGTTAATTTGGATTCACATGATGCCAGTCAATATTGCCCAAACAGAATCCATCCAATTCAAGAATGTATTGAATATATAGCAATCTTCCAGAAATTTTTTTTTCAATCCACTTGGACCAATGAATATATAAAACGAATGCCAAAGATACAAAATGAATTCCAAAAACGAATTGGGTCAACATAACGAATATGATGAAACGGAATTCTTCAATGAACGAATGCATCAAAAATTTCAAGCATGCACATGTCTAGTTCTCATGTCTTGTCTTAACCATTTGCCCCCACCCTACAGCAGAAATACTGCTACAGGGCTGCAGGGTTGCACAAAGTCACGTATATATATATATGTGACTTGCATTACTAGGTAGGGGGTGCACATCTGTCATCCTACCCATGCTGCCATTGGCAGATGTCAATCACTGGGTCCCAGCTGGAGATTCTCCGCCAGCACCCGGCGATCACCAAGTAACATGACAAGGGAGAGACCTGTGTGTAAACAACACAGGTCCCTCTCCTGCCAGCAATGACTTGCACAGCAGAGAAATACACAGCAGCATGTTTCCCTAGTAAAACAACACACAAGTAACCCTTTGATTGCCCCTCATGTTAACCCCTTCCTGCCCAGTATCATTAGTACAGTGTCAGTGCTTTTTATTAGCACTGATCACTGTATTGGTGTCACTGGGGATGTCAGTGACAGTTAGTCAGATCCCCCCCGTGTTAGAATGCCCGCAGCAGTCCCACAGTCCCACTATAAGTCACTGATCGCCATTTGTAGACGCTATAACTTTCACGTAAACCAATTCATTTACACGTATTGGGAATTTGTTTTAGCAAAGACATGCAGCAGAATACATTTTGGACTAAATTTATGAAGAAATTTGATGTTTTTAATATTTTTTTACTGGATATATTTTATAGCAAAAAGTAAACAAATATTGTTTTTTTTTTAAACTTGTCGGTGTTATTCTGTTTATAGCACAAAAAAATAAAAAATACAGAGGTGATCAAAGGCCACTGAAAGAAAGGTGCAGCATTGCATGACCGCGCAATTGTCAGTTAAAGTAATGCAGCACCGTATCGCAAAAAATGGCCTGGTCAGGAAGGGGGGGGGAAAATCATCTGGAGGTCAAGTGGTTCATTAAAGAGAACAATTAGACCTCCCAGTCCTTTTCTCGGGACTACAGAATGATTAGCATTTGTGTTGTGAAAATGGGAGAATAGGTGGGCTTACACAGTCTACAAAAAAGGATGTGTTTTCAGCCCAGAACAGTATTTATGAGCAGAGCTTATTTCTGGCAGGTATTTTTTTGTACTTGCAGCATTGATAAAACAATGGAAAATATTTATATATAGTATACAGTATAAGTAAAAAAAAAGTTGTATATTATTATTATTATACAGGATTTATATAGCGACAACAGTTTGCTCAGCTCTTTACATATATAGATATGGATGTAGGCTGTGTGAAATGTACATGCTAGACTTCTTTTATTGCTTTTCTCCACCTCAACCATAGATATTTCTATAGCATTCGACATTTTAGTTTATTAAAGTTGAACTCCTGCCAAAAAATAAAAATAAGGGACCACTAAGGGCTTGTTCACATGATGTTCTCTCCTCCATGTTTATCTTGGATTCCCACATCCAATTGGAGTTCTGCTTTTCGTTTATATTGGGTACACTGGTGGAGTGGAGGAGGAGAGTGATTTGGGAATCCAGGATATACATGGAGGAGAGAACATGATCTATCTGAGGAATGCAGTGGACATAGTATGAAGTGCAACTGACCTGCCTGCCAACATGGAAGAAAAAATATATTTGAAATATATTTTAAAAATATTCTCCCCAAATATATTGTCATGTATTTGAAATGTCACAATTTTGGCCATATTCAATATATTTCAAAATTTATATATATATATATATATATATATATATATATATATATATATATATATATTGCAAGTTGAAATGTGTTTTTTATTACAAAACATATTTCAAATATACAGTATGTCTTTAAAAATACAAATCTACATTTTTGGAATGCAGTTACGAATATACCGTATTTTTCGCTCCATAAGACGCACTTTTTTCCCCCCAAAAAAGGGGGGAAAATGTCAGTGCATCTTATGGAGCGAATATGGAGTGGCCGGTCCGGTATTTCCACCGCTGCCGTGCAGAATACTGGGCCGGCCGCTCAGCTCTGCAGCGGGACCTTATAGAGATGAGTGCTGACCTTTGGGGAGGGGGGGAAGCGGGTACCTGAATTTGACAGGTACCCGCTCCCACTTCCGTAGAGTTGTTCTTTCATCTTACCTGTTCCTCTATCCAGCGGCGCGCTGTCTTCCCGGCTTCTGTAGTGTGGGCATGACAGCCGGGTGCCAAGTGCGCATGCGCAAGAAGCGGTGCTTTTTGTGAATGGTAAGGCGGCACCTGGGACACATGACAGATCCCAGAAGCCGCCGGACCAATCACAAAGCGCAAGTGCTTCTCGCTCATGCGCACTGGGCACCCGGCTGTCATGCCGAGCGCCATTACAGAAGCCGGGAAGACAGCGCGCGGCTGGATAGAGGAACAGGTAAGATGAAAGAACAACTCCACGGAAGTGGGAGCGGGTACCTGTCAAATTCAGGTACCCGCTCCCCCCCCTCCCCAAAGGTCAGCAGTCATCTCCTGTACTATCCACAGTCTCTGGTCATCCCTGTGCTGTCCGCAGTCTCTGGTCATCTCCTGTACTATGTCCGCAGTCTCTGGTCATCCCTGTACTGTGTCTGCAGTCTCTGGTCATCTCCTGTACTGTGTCTGCAGTCTCTGGTCATCTCCTGTACTATGTCCGCAGTCTCTGGTCATCTCCTGTACTATGTCCGCAGTCTCTGGTCATCCCTTTACTGTGTCTGCAGTCTCTGGTCATCCCTGTACTGTGTCTGCAGTCTCCCTGGCTGTCCATCTCCTGGTCACTATATGTCTGCAGTCCATTAGTTCAGAATTTTTTTTCCTGTTTTCTGCCTCTAAAACCTAGGTGCGTCTTATGGTCAGGTGCGTCTTATGGAGCGAAAAATACGGTATGTAAAAATATATGTTAAAATGACTTTTTTATATGAAAAAAAAAATCTGACGAATATATAAAAAAAAATAATATATATATATATATATATATTTTTTTGTTAACATATAAAAAAGTCATTTTAACACACACATATATATATATATATATATATATATATATATATATATATATACATTGCATGTTGAAATGCATTTGTATGTAAAAATATATGTTAAAATTGCTTTTTTATATAAAGTCTAACAAGAGTGAGAGTTCGTGGGGGGCATGCACGTGTCCTGGACCTGGAAGCAGAAAGCAACGGACAGGGGTATGCAAAATCACGTATATATATTGTATTCCCCGCTGGCACCCGGTGATCTCCAGGTATTACCAACGGGGGAGAGACCTGCATGTAAACAATACAGATCTCTCCCCTGTCAGCTCCTGCACATTTCACACTCCTGAACACTGCTTTGTATGGCTCTGCATAGCAGAACCATACAAAGACAGTGCGCTTACAGTGAAACACAGACACAGCCCACATAGTAAAACAGCACAAAGTTAACCCTTTGATTGCCCCACATATCAACCCCTTCCTGTCCAGTGTCATTAGTACAGTGTCAGTGTTTTGTATTAGAACTGCTCACTGTATTGGTGTCACTGGGGATGTCAGTGACACCAAGTCATTTCCCCCCAGTGTCAGAATGCCTGCCGCAGTCCTGCTATAACTTGCTGATCGCCTCCATTACTAGAGGAAAAAAAACTCCATTTGTAAACGCTATAACTTTTATGTAAACCAATTAATGTAAACATATTGGGATATTTGTTTAGCAAATTCATGTAACAGAATACATTTTGACCTAAAATTATGATGAAATTTGATTTTTAAAATTTTTTTACTGGATATGTTTAAGAGCAGAAAGTCAAAAATATAGGTTGCTTTTCAAAATGGTCGGCTTTTTTTGTTTATAATGCAAAAAATAAAAAACACACAGGCCAAATACCAAATACACAAATACCAATGAGAAAGCTCTATTTGTAGGAAAAAAGGGCGTAAATTTCATTTGAGTGCAGCATTGCATGACCGTGCAATTGTCAGTTAAAGTAACGCAGTGCCCTATTGCAAAAAAAAATGGCCTGCTCAAGAAGGGGGGTAAATCCTCAGTGGTTCATTAAAGAGAACAATTAGCCCTCCCAGTCCTTTTTTTCGGGACTACAGAATGTATAGCATGTGTGTTGTGAAAATGAGAGAATAGGTGGGTTTACACAGTCTACAAAAAGGATGTGTGTTTTCTGCCCAGAACAGTACTTATGAGCAGATCTTATTTCTGGAAGGTATGTTTTTGTACTTGCAGCATTGATAAGACAATGGAAAAAAAATATACAGTATATTTTTTGTGTTGGTAAATATCCCTTTGACTTCACTGGTGTTCTCATTTGCAATTGCTCATTTTTTATGTGTTTTCTGAACATGCCATTGAATCAAACCCAAGCAGATCTGCTAGATTTATCCTGAATTAGTCTTCATCTTGGTGTAATTTCCAGACAGCTAGATGGTTCTATGAAAGTGGTGAAACTGTAATAAAGCTTGTTTTGCATCGCTGAAAATGAAACGCTTGCTCCATAACTAGTATATAACTGAGGGATTTGGAGACTTCCTCGTTACTAACCTAGAAAAAGTAAAATGGTTCTCTCTAAATGTTCTTCCACTATCCAATATCTGTGCAGATGTATTTACAAAATCAAAGCTGCATTCTCAGCATGCATGATTGCATAGACCTGATAAGTGAGGTCTTGCAAGAGAGGACCCAGTAAAGTATGATGCAAGTCCCATTGTGGCACCAGTTATTGGTGGGAAGATGTGCAAACTCAGAGGGTGGTGTTTAGAAACGGAGGAATAAATATTCAGTTCTTTTTAAAGTAGGTTATCTATTACAAGCATTTTGTAAAATGCTTCTTTCCATTTTTGTTAGCATGTCCTACTATCACTTTATGGTAAAACCGGTATCATGTTTTGATCTACAAATCTAAAGCTGAAGCTTGCGTACTGAATTTGTTGCATGCACAACAAATGTACAACCTGCATACCCTAGGACAGTAACTTTAAGTAGTGAACTATATTAAAAATATTACTTGCACTTTCTTAAGGATTAGCTTTTGGCAGAGCTGTTGTGTGATTTCCTCTCATTTCATGACATTGTAATGATGTTACCACACACAACTTTATCTTGCATGAAAAGGTGAAGTCATGAGTGATTTCTTCAATTTAAAAGCACTCAACCCTCACAGTGCTAGAAATGAATATTTTGCATATATTCATGCAAGAATGATTCAATTTAAGATTTCTATTTTCAAACCTTGCTTGAAACCTTCACTATATTAGTAGGAAATTTGCCAAAATCTATAATAAGATTTATTGTAGATGAGTAGCATTTTATTTAGTATTCATGTTAACATGCTTTTAGGGTATGATGGCAATGTGGAAATTCATTTTCTTGTTCAAGCAAAAAAAAAAAAATTATATATATATTTATATATATATAAAAACACTCTATTGTTTTCAGACATCGTATTTTCTACAAATGATTTTAATTAAATCTAAGTTTAACTGTGTCACATGACTCCACACTTTGAAAAAAAAATACAAGACAAGATAGCCATATTGTATGTATGCATGTGTTTTTAATTCTTTTATCATATAAACAGAGAAATTAGATATATTTTTGGGAGTAGAATTTAAATCTGTGTAAATACTTTTTGGTATGCTTCAATTTCTTTTTAGTTTTTTTTTTTGCAAAAGGAATTTATGAATAAATACTATTTCAGAGAGGAAAATGCAATGCAGACTCCAAATAATGCAAATAGTAATTCTTTTCTCATGACATTTTTTTGCACTTATCTAATGAAAAAATAAATATATCTTAAAGAATATGTGAACCCAATGTTTCATGTCCCTGATATGTGCTTGCTGTACCATATACTTGTATGAAAAAGTATCCTGCTCAATTAATTGCTTTTTGTGTGAAATAACGAATCCTCATACCAGTTCCTCTGCATTCCTATTTAAAACTGACCACACTAGACATGAGAGCACATTGTGGTCAGTTCTCTAGCTGTGCTGGGAACTCAGTGTGCTCTCCTCCGATGATCAGACCTCTGTTCACATGCCCAAATTACAGTCATTCACGGGAAGGTCAATGTGCTATTTTTCCTCCTCCCCCAGCTTTCTGTTCTAAGCTTCATAAGGAGTTTAGAGGGTATGTGATCAATCATAAAACAGGGAAAAAAGGTATTTACAAATTTTTATATGTATACACAAATGTTTTGCCTTTCATTTCTATTTTAAACTGAATGGGTCATTTTACAAGGTGAAGATTTACATATACTGTAAATACATATATAACTTGATACCTTCTTCTGAATATTCTCAGTTGGGTTTTCTTCAAAGCTTTTTAGATTGGTGTAAGGTTATGTACACATGGTTGCAGTGGTGCTATTTAGGGGGTATTAGTACCAGTACCTGAAACATCAACTTGGAGACATCACCCCTACACCACTAGTCATCCCATTTTTAATTCAGTTAATCAGTCCTGCAAGGTGTCTTCTGCAGGTAATAACTGTAGATGTTTCAGTGTGTGGCACAGCAAGGTTGATACTATAAAAAATGCTTAAAATGTGCTACTAATATAATAGGAAAAGGTAAATGTAATAGGTCAGCTTAGTTCATATCCACAGGGTTAGAGGATATCGAGCTGAGTGCAGAATATCAAGCTGAAGTGTACACCTTCAGGTGATGTGCCATGAATATGTTGAGATTACGCACTCACCAGATGCGTAATCATAGTACGCATTTATGTATACATTATCAGCCGGAGGTCCCCTTAAGGATATGAACAGCCAGGTCTGGTCAGAGAGCTCTCTTCCCCTGGGTCATCTGCAGCCCCTCAGCTGTCCTCCATAATGGGCTCATGACTGATCACCTTCCTGGCCGACTTATTCGTGAGACTTGCCGAGCGAACAGCGGTGAGCCAGGAACAGTCAGTCCGCAATGTGTGTACACCCCTCTGGCTGTACTCAAAGTTTCTAGGTAGCAGCATGTTGCATCTCTCTTCCCAGTGCCAGATTGTGGACAGTGGGATGTGGTGATGCTCCTCCTGTCCTTAGCTAGTGTCTCAGTTGTTGGGCAATATGACAGCCTTCCAGCTCCTCCCAGTGGTTACTGGCTTCCAATCTGTACTTTCCTCAAACTCAAGCTTAGCTGCAGAAAAATAAGTCTGGCCACATGATCGCCTGGGTAGTCCTGGGTGAAGAAGATGCCTTATTTAATTATTCTCTGCCTATGACTCTGTGCTTGTGATAGCTTTTCCTGCTGACCAAGTGTACCTTACTAGTTTGTTCGTTTGCTGACATTGTTGACCTTTTTCTATGTTGTGGATTTCTCTACTGTTTACTGCTTCACTGATATTTACCATGTTTCTGGTTTCTTCTACTGTCTGATGCCTTCCCTGATTTTTACTACATCAATGGATTCTTCAAAGTCTGCCACTTGCCTTGACCTTTGCTATGTCCATGATACGCTTACTGTCAGATCCACCTGTCCTTGCTCTACCTGAGTGCCCTCCATTGCTGTATGGTACATTTACCTTTGCATGTCTTGGGACTGCTAGCAACATTGTGAATCCAGAATACATATTTTTGTGCATTAAGACCTATTATGGGTTGGACTACTTGCTAAAAATGAAGCTGCACTTGCTCATCATTCACAATATAGCTTACATTTACTTGGTCACAGTACTTCATATACTTATCAACCAAGCTTAGACAGATGGTCCAGGACAAAAATGTGAACCTAGGCCTATATTCCTCTCCAATGTGGCTGGGAACATTTTACATTGGTTATCTGGGTAGAGGCTCCATGCAGTGCTGATCCTTAAATTGTCTTAGCATATCCTTCTGCAACACCCTTATACAACATTGCATCCCTCTTACTTGCCTTAAACAGCAAAATAGTTAATTTATGACTAACTATACTCAGACAGTGTCTTTAGTGAATGGTCAGAAACCACAAGGATGACATGAAAAAAGTAGGTTTTAATTTTTTTCTAGAGAGAAGAATTATTACATGCCCAAAACCTATCCAATACTCATATGCTATTAAAGTAGTTGTAGACACTTACATATACCCACTGAAGTGACTAGCATCAGGTAATATACAGAGATGAAACAAATTCCCCTGCATAAACTATACCTGTATATCTGCAGCACATTTTTTGTAGGTCAGTCTAAAAACACAGATCAAAGGATTTTTCTCAGCTCTAGCAACAGGTGGCAGGGATCTGGCATCACACACACTGCAGAGCTATAGCACAGAGTGGGAGGAAGGGACACTCTGACTTACAGTCTCATAGAAAAATAAAATAGAGTTGAGGCTATGGGTCACCTGCTGTTGTGTTGGCTTTGAGTCTTATCAATGATTCATACAGATAGCAAAAGGATCAGAGATAAGAGAGAAACCACACTCAGTGCTTTGGATTTAGGCTAGTACAAACTATGGAGGGAAGGGTTTGGTCATTTTTCAACACAATTCCTCAACAGTTAAAGAGTCAGTGGGCAGCAGTTTAAGAATCATTGACAACTTGTGGTCTTCTGGTTAGCCTAAAATGTAATAGGCTTTGCAGCAAACTGCAAAAGATCATCTTCATAATTTTACTGTATACAACAGCAATTGTAGATGAGCCAACTCTAAGCAAAAACAAAGTTTCTCTTTTGCTGTCTCAGGACACAATCAAAAGCATCTATGTCACTCTGGGACACCTTTTGTTCTTTGCAATATCTGCATT